ACAGCCCAGTGCCCGGGCTCCTGGGCACTTGGCAGCCCAGGGACCCGCTGCGCCAAGGAAACACCGCAGGCCGTGGGGTTTGCATGTTTTAATGATGGTTTAGAGAGATGCGGATAGATGTGAGCTCACCGCAGAGCCGGGAGCTCAGGCATTCCCAGCCCCACATGCACAGGCTGGCGTGAGAGCAGCCGGGCACACGGTCCCGAGGCTGATCCTCGGCCTCGGCAGCGCCCCGTGTACCCCAAATCCTCTCAGCACCAGGGTTTCCCAAGGGCTGCCACAGCAGACACGGTCATGGAGCACGATTATGAACGGCACAGCGTCGCTCTCCCGGGAGAGAGCTGCGTACGGAGAACGAGAAATGCTGGGAGCAGGGACATGCAAGCAGTCCTGCAGGGCACTGGTCACAGTCACCTGGATGAAATCGGCGTTTGAGCCTTTCTTAGACTTCTCCGGCGTTCTCCATGGACTGTGGGATTTCAGCAGAAGCACAACATGACTAACTTGTATGGAACAAGCCACATGGGAGTTACCTGAAACCCAGAGTCCAGTAGGACCAGACCCTGCTGGACAACGCAGCTGGAACACCTGGGCCAGAAATTCTTCATGGATGACATGAAGGGATACAACTAAGACTAGAGACATTCTGTGGTATGGTAGGTGTCTTCTGGAAACCCAGCAGTATTCTGGGTGAAAGCTCAGGAAAGAGAGTAAGACCTTTTCTATTGACCTTTTAGCTGAAATAAACTAGAAAACATTTATTGTTGTATATTCCTAAAAAAAGAAACAAACAGAAGTCTCACAGGGGCTTGTGAGCATCACTTGCAAGGTGCACCCAAGGCTGCAATGCCCAGGCCTTAGCCACACACACATCCTCTACTCCACCTTGTAGCTATAGGATTTTGGGTAAAACTTTAGGCACTGTGCTCTCTGTCCTTTATCATTTACCTTCTGTGCTTTACTTTGGGGGACACTCTGAGAGAAGGTGGAAAGTACACATTTTACTCCAGAGGATGTTGCTTATTCCTGAAAAATTCAGCAAACAGAGGATTCAAGTGTCCCTGAAACTCTACCTTCCCCAAGCCCAGCTGGAAAGGCAGGGTATGAACAGCTGCATCATCTGTAGTTGTGGCTCTACCACCAGGCATTATCTAAACTTCCCTTCTGAGGAGAAGGATGGGTCTAGCCCCCAGAATCTGAGCATTTCTTGGTTCATTGTGATGGGGAAAATTTTCTGTTCTCGTCTGCCCTAGCATTTATGAGAGCTCAGACACATCCTGGATGAGAACAATTGCTGTGAGATCTTCCCACTGCTGGACAAAAACCATGCAGTTTTAAAGCTCAGCTAAGCCAACATGAAAATGTCAATGGAGATGTGGTGAACTTTGCAATCTGAGTAAGAACCCTTAACAGCCTACATTTTACCTTGGTGAGTTACCACCACACTTCACCAGGACTGCAGTGAAATTTTGACACCTCTGTGCTATCATAAGGTTAGAAAACACAACCAATCCTTCCCCCAACATCCTTCTCCCTCCTTACCACTCAGCCCCTTCCCATCAGAATTGCCTGCTGCATGAAGAACTCTGAAATCTCCATCACAAGCAGAGGTGAGTACACCAAAATGCTGGGATCTTCTGAGGAGGGCAGAAATTCCATTGCTGCTTCACTTCCCATTACACACAGGCAGTTTGTAATCTCCACAATGTCCTCCTGTTTGTTTGTTTGTTATAGGGAACAGGAACTGCTTTCTGTCCATGACCATCTCTCCCTGCCAGAGGGATGTGCTGGGCTCACACTGCAAATTCAGACACACTTCACAAGGTGGGACACATGACAGAGGTTTAGGCCATACTTGAAGCAGATGTTAGCTCTGAAATACAGAGACCTCAAGGAATCTAACCTCTCCTTCCCCCCAAAGCACCTGATTTCCCAGATGTGTGGCAAACAGGAATGTCTCTCCTGGCCTACAAAACCTCACCCACCTTGCCCCTAGCTAAGATCAAGCTGTGGACTGCGTTCAGGGCAGAAGATTACAGTATTTGTCAAACAGATGAGAATAAAACTGGCTGGAACAAATGGGATTTGGGTAGAAAGATTTCAGGTCCAAGCCTCAAGTAAATAATGAAGGGGAAATCTGAGAGAAGAGCCTAAATTCATTGCAGTGCCTCAGAAGAAACTGAGATCAGGCTTCTGCTACTTGAAACACTCAGCACAAAAGTGATGCTCAAAATCCTACAGTCTGCTGCTGAGCTCTGAGGGGGTCTCTCTACCTCTTTTAAGCAGAATCCAACTGCCTCAGACTGGGACAATCACTGATCCAAATCTCAATAGGAAAAGGGATAGCTATAAAGAAAATCACCTTCCTTGCTTGGGTTAATTCACCACCTGCAGTTCAGCACCCTTTACCAGCCATTGCCTGGGTGTTCAGCCAACCAGCTTGGAAAATGACCTAAGGAAACTGATTTCTTGGTGTTCCTGGTTTTAGGCACCAGGAGAGCTGGCTCCTTTCTATGTAACAGAGCAGGAACAAAGGAAAGGAGTCACCGATTTGGAGCTGAGCTAAGGCACTAATGATGCAGTAGGTGAGGAAAGGATAAACACAGCAGGAGGAGGACAACTCCATCGTTCTCTCCACTCAATTCCCTTAAAAAACCCAATGTTATCTCTATAGAAAAGGAGGAGCTAATACAGCATTACAGTATCCCTGCTGGGGTTTCATTTTAAGGTTGTTCTGTTGTACTCCCAGAGAGATTTGTTTCAGGTATCAAAGTCACAGGAGCTGTTTCTAAAGTGGATTTTGGTGAATGCAGGCAGAGTTATCTGAGCAGCTCTGGCTCATCACAGCTCTGTGAGGATGCCTGTTTTGTTGTTTTTCCCTGTGGTTTCCCAGAAAATATGAAGCCTGTCTCTATCACTTTTTGGCATGTTACTGAGATAAGCCACCAGAGTGTGCTGACCCGAGGGGTGCAGTCTCTCCCTGTCCACAGAGGTGGCAGCTGTGTCATCATCACAGCTTGATGAAGATGGAGGATGACTGGCTCATCTTCTGCCCAGTGTCACTGAGGGGGAAAACGCTGGAGATGGCTACATCCACAATTCCTTGGCAGAGCTCTGCATACAGCTTCCTAAGAGATGAGAGAGAGAGAGAGACAATCAGATACCCAGGCAGGACAAACCAGCAGATGCCTGGCCAATTTTGATGTTTTTATGTAGAAATGCATTTTCCCAGCAAAATCTACAAGATCCTACTCCCATCACAAGGAGTTTCAGGGTGGCAAATAGGGGGACAACAGTATCTCTTCTACCTCCTCCCTGTTTACACCAACAAATATCTTCTTTTACCATGGTGGTAATTGCCAGTATTGCTCCCTTTCACAAAGAACCACAAAACCCATAACCTTTGTTTACAGTCAGAGGCTCTGGACCCTCAGGAGACTTGAGTCTCCACAAGATGCAAAGGGGCAGAAAACATCTCAGAGCTCCCTGTACCAAACTTCCAACTCAGGGAGCTGGGATTTACTGCACCAGATGCTGTGCACACTGGAATGTGCCCCAGAGGGGCTGCTCTGATGCATTCCTGGTTTGATGAAATGCTGTGCTGGGGTGCAGCTCAGGGGCTCCACAAGACCCTCAGACATGTGGGATGTGTTTCACCATGGCACAGCACGATTAGGGAGAGGAGAGACAAGGTGTTTGAGTTAACAACAGCTTCATTTTCTGCTGGAGGAAATGCACATGAAACCTCCCTGAATGTGCTGGCATCTGGCACATATTTAGTCCCAAACCTGTTTTTCCCAGGATTAACAATGTCTTTACTCCATGTCACTCGGGTTATGTGACAGTGAGATGTTTTTTTTCAGCTCCTAGGAATGGTATTACTTACAGCAGCCATTTTTTCCTCTTTAAACGGGAGCTGTGTGATACAAGTGCTACAAATAAAAATAACCCTGAAGAGAAGTCACACATAGCCAAAACCTACCTCAGCTGCTTTCAATCTTCCAAGTGCCCAACAAAGCCCTTGCTCTTCCAAGAGGCACAAAACAAACAGGGCACTGCTGCAATCCAAATCCACCCAGCAACAGCCAAATTCTACCCTTACAGCAAGACAAGGAGGTGCAAGGCAGTCATTGCACCATGATGCACATTGTGAACAGGGCATCCTGGACACAGAAAGCTCCCCAAGCTCTAGCCCCGAAAAAGCTCAACAGGCTGTCTGGTAAGGTTTGACCTGCATTTTTTGTCTACTGTTAGTGATGATCTAACCTAATTTAATCGACATCTAATCTCATAAAGTTCTAATGCAGCAATGTACAGCCTGTTCTGTTTTTCTGTTTTTTTTTTTTTTTTTTTTAATATGATACAGATGCTCACTTAGCAAAAATTTCTGGTCTCCTGCAGCTGTCTCAGTCATGTAATACAGCACTTTCTGCTGTGCCTACACAGAAATGTTCATGGCCAGGGCTGTTGGGCTGTTCCAGCCTCCCTGTGGCTGCTGGAAGAAGCTATAACCTGATCTCTGTGATACCAAAAGGGTTAATTCAGTTTTTACTGTGCTTGTGAACACTTAGCAGAGAAACAAGGCATGCAAAATCTGCTTTCCCAGCAAGCGTGGCTGGAAGGTAAGAAGACATCTGGCTCAGGAATGCAGGCACAGCCAAAACAAGGACTTAATCTGGGAACCTGGGGAGGGTTTTTGGTAATGGGCAAATTGAATATAAGCAAGACACTTGTAAAATCACATGGACACAAACTCAGGAGTTATCCCTGTGTGATTTGAATAAATTATGCTCTTCTTAACACTAAATTGGTGTTGAGTCTTTATTCCTTAGGTTTTCAGAGATTTCGTAACATCTGCAGCATCCACAGTGTGCTCTGTGGTCCTGCTGCCTGCAAATTGAGTCACTCACTTCCAGCTGCTGCCCTTAATGCTCCTCATTTAACATGTGCTCATATAAAGAGCAGCCACCGGTGGTGCCACAACAGAGACTGAGAAACAATCTGACTCCCAAAACCTTAAATCTGCAAACATAACTTCAACCCAAAAGCAATAAAAATGACTCAAGTGATATTTTTAGTGCCCCATCCCACATGGGAAAGAAGCTGGGGGGGATACCAAACACAGAGAATAGTAATGAACCCAAACTGACTGGCACTTGGAGCAGTGTCCAGTGTTAGCCTGGAAAACTCTCTCACCATTAATTTTCTTTCACCTTTTTCACTTGGAGCTGGGACACAGCTGTGTTTTGGGTGAGGCATGTGAATGGTGGCATCACAAGGGTGTTCCAGAAACTGATTTACTCACTGGGCACATGCTGGGGCTCCATTGACTTCTATCAGCCAGACCTTCAGCTCCTCATCCACCATGAAGTCAAAGCCAAAGAGCTGGAAGCTCTGGTAGTGAAGATGCTTCGTGCTGATTGCAGGCTCTATACACATAAGGCAGCTTCTGTGAAGGGAGAAACAGGAACTCAGGGTTAAGGCTGCTGTGGACATGTTAAATAAGAGGGGTTGCCCTGGAACTCTCCCAAATGACAAGTTATGTCCAACACATGCCATGCAAGTGAGATCCCGTGAAAATCCATGTGGGGACCCCTGAGTTAACTCACAAGGAGCTGCAGAGCATCCTCCCTCACCACTGGGTCAGGCAAGCTGAAAAACATGATGTGCAATGCCACCAAGGGCTGCAGCAGGTCCCCAGGAACTGCCACTGGATGCTCATTTGCCTTCAAGTCCCTCAAAGATTGCGCCACATCTCTTTTACTGCAATTAACAGCAGTGGGGTACTGGCAAAGCATATCCCTTCATGAAGGACTGCTTTGTCAAACCTGGATTCTCTGCAGCACCAAGATCTCTCTCCAGGCAATTTCTATGCCCAGGAAGGAACTGGATCTTGTGGACTGAGTAAGATGACCCAGGCAACAGCCATGGGCTGTGCTGGCTGATGGTGGGGGAAGCATCCAGAGTCTGCACACTCGAGTTCACCTTCACTTCCCCTCTGTCACCTTTATGCCTTTCTTAATCTCAGCCTCTCCAGCCCTGGCTCTCTTCCCTTTTCACTCTATCCTTCTCCAGCCACAGCTGGCAAATCACAGAGATGTGGACACACACCACTGAGGCAACAGTACTTATGGAGGTGCCTTCTCACTGAGCAGAGACATGGGGCCATTTATGGACTTATCCTAAATTTCTGCAATTGAAACCCTTTCCTTCTTACTCTATGTCCATACTCCCTGCCCCTGAAGGGTTTTGCCCTCCTCAGCAGCAGGCAGCTGGCTACCTTATGATGTGTTTGATTTGCAGTAAGATGCTGTTCTCAAGCGTTGTGTTCAGGGCATCCATCAGATACTGGTTGAACTCCTCGAAGAACATTTCATTTCCTTCCTCGTAGCGCCCGTAGTTTTTGGAATATTCCTTCTGGATGCAGTGATTGGTCAAGTGGCAGGTTTTGTCCTGGAAGTTAGCACTGTTATATGGTTCTGAAGAGGTCCGCAGGACACCCTCTCTGTAGAGGTAGATATTATATTGATGATCCACAAGAACCCAGCTCCTGGGGGAACAAACAGGAGGACAAATTCTACTCTCAGTGGCTCCCAAAGAAACAGCATGAACAAGAAAACTGCTATTACAAAGGCAGGAGAGGTCACCTGATGTCAAACTTGCGATGCCCTGGCTCTAAAAGTAGAGGATTCTCCAGGTACTTCTGAATCACGTGCACTTGTCCCTGCTCATCGATGAAGTCCAGGAGCTCTGAAGCCTCTGAAGAAATCAGGATCCCTTCCCCTGGCACAGAAAGTTGAAGACAAAATTAGGCAGAGGATCCTTCTACCTTTGTTGGAGCTTTTTCAGGCCCCCAGTGGCTCATTAGCCCAAAAAGCAACATGCAAGAACCCGTGGCCCCAGGGTCAGCAACGGCACAGTCACTCCACGGGAATGAATCTGTGGAGGGATCTCTTCCTTGCCATCCCCAGAAACCAGCCCTGCTGCAAATGGGAACCAAGGGCATCTGACAGGGCACAGCCTGCCCAGGGCATGTCTGCAGGGGGGTGGCTGCTGAGGTGAGAGGAGATGCACAGCAAACAGGGACTGGGCAGGCAGTGAGGCAGCTGTTTGGCTTGGGGGCATTCTGGATTCTTTTATGTCTTTTTTTCTTCCTAGCTAGGTTGGGCGGGGGTAGGAGGATGTGGTGGTGGTTGTATTTGGCACTTGGCAAATTTGGTTTTGTTTTTCCCCGGTTTTCAGCAGTTTAGAGAGAACAGGGAGTTTGGCACATTTTCTGTAAAGATTTTTGCCCTTCTTTTTTATTTGGGGAGGGAGATTTGTGGGGCTTTTTATCCCAGACTCAAGACTGACTTTCCCTGTCTGGCTTCTCTGGCTGCCAGAGGCAGTCACACATGCACACTTGTGCAGTGCTGCCCTGCTCACTGAATTCATTTAAGTGATTATTAAAATCATTGATAAATAAGGAAAAGTACTATTTCAAATTGCTCATCCATGTGCTCAGTGCTCCTGCTGTGGAAGCTCTTCATTAAAAAAATGAACTGTGCCATTTAAACACTCCTACATTTTGGCTGAAGCTGTCACTGTTCATCTCTTGCAAGAGTCCAAATAGCAAACTTCTGTTGCAGAGCACTGAAGAGAGCCCATTTTCTTTCTGGGATTTCATAAAGGAAGGGCATGGTACCAGGAGGGATAAGCCAGCTCAGGTAGAGTTATCAAACCCTCCTCTGGCATTATGCCCATTCTTGAGGTATTAAGTTTTCTGGACTAAACCTGATTACTTAGTCTTAATTTTGTGCTGAGTGTTTTTGACGAAATACTGTGCAAAAAACCCCACTTTTCAAGAGGGCATTAAAGGGGTAACAGAGGTTTCAAGCACAGATAGGGTTTGACAGGATCATCCAACAAAAAATGCTCCTAGCTGTGATTTCTGAAGGTTGCTGTCAGCACAGCCCTGCAGGTACTCCCACTGCTGCATCCTCTGCTCAGCTTTCCAGCTCTACTGTCCTCTCATTCATCCCAGCACCCTCCACTGAAAGGAAGCCTGAAATTAAAGTATCTCACCCATGATTTATGCAGAGGGCAAGATGTTTTAGTCTCCTGATCACAGCAGAGCAAGGCAGAACCTTGCACTGGCACAACTTAAGGCTGTGCACTGGGAGAAGGAGGGAAACAACATCCCAGAGCCAGCAAAGCTGCTGCAGTGGGGAGATCAGCAGGCACCTGCTCCACATGGACAGATGGCAAACCCAGGGGAGGGTCAGGGCAGCCACCCAGTGAGGCAGCAAAGCAGCTTATGGGGGGCAGCTGGCAAAGAAAACACCAGAACCTCCAGCCACAGCTGCCAACCCTTCAAATGTTTGACTCAGGGCATCCTAAACCTTGAATTTTCCTGTTACTGATGGATGACTAAGCTTCTGTTCGACCTGTCCCAAGACAAGGGCTGGGCCTGAGCTGTATCTTTCTTGGTAATTAGCATGAACAAGCTTTCTTTTTCATCAGAAGTAATCCCCAGACATATAAAACTTCCCCCTAGAAGATTACCATGAGACTCTGCTTTCCACTTTAACTTGCAGCAGCACAGTGATGAATACAAAAGGCTACTCTGCTTTAGTGCAGAAAAGATGGGATCACATGTGCATGAAGTATCTGAAGAGCCTGAACCTGCTCAGCCTGCAGCAGACCACAGCAATCGCCTTTCCAAATGCCCAGATGGATTTTTCTGCCAGTTTACCCCACAGAAACACATTTTTGCACTGGCACAACAAAAGGACTCATCTCCCCTTCATTCCTGATGAAAACAAGGATACTCTTCCAATTCTTCTTGGTGACAGAGCCAAGAGAGCAGGACAGAGAGGGAAGCTGGTGTAAAGGACAGTTTTATGGTGCAGCCAGCTCTGGCTTTTACATTCTCTTTTCTGCAAGGCTGCATGCAGAGTGACTCTGCAAACACGAGTAATGGGCTTGTTCTCTCTGAAAAGACCAGGTCCCTCCTCAGGCTGGGCTCTGCTGCACACACAGCAAGGTAAGTTTTTAAACATAGTCATTCTAACAAAAAAATGTGTCCATGATAAGACCATAACTGACAGAGAGCACACAGTCACCAAAGCCCTGCATTTAGAGCTGTGTCCAGCCACCTCACAGCTCCTTATTTCTGCAGAGTGAGTATGGAATGACCCTGGAACAAGGAAGGACACATTATCACTGGGGTATCTGTTTGTCCTACTCAGATTAAATGGACAGACAGACACTGCATTGATTGTCTGTGCTCTGGTACCTTCCCCTGAGGCCTGGGTACAACTGTGACGCACTGAGCTCGTGGCTGCTCATTGTGACCACAGGCAGGCCACTGGCACCAGGCACGTGAGTCTGGCTGAAAGACAAGCAGGATTTGCACCCAGGAGAAGGCAAGTTAAGCTGCAGCATGGGGAGCTGGGCTCCTTGCCCCTGCAGGCTACTGTCCTGCCTGCTGACTGCCTCCCTGTATCCTGTTCTGCTCCCTCTAACCTGCTCTCCACATTGCCCCCACTTGCTGGTCCCTGCTGAGTCACAGACATCTTTTATGGAAAATCCTTAAGATTTTTCCTCCTGAGAAGCTGAGAGGCCTCAGGAACAAAATGTAAACATGGATTACCTGCTGCTGTGGAATGCAACAGGTGGATCTGTGATTGGTCCATGTTGGATGTTTTAATTAATGGTCAATCACAGCCCAGCTGGCTCAGACACAGAGCCGAGCCACAAACCTTTGTTATAATTTTTTTCTATTCTATTCTTAGCTGGCCTTCTGATGAAACCTTTTCTTCTATTCTTTTAGTATAGTTTTAATGTTATATATATAATAAAATAATAAATCCAGCCTTCTGAAACATGGAGTCAGATCCTCTTCCCTTCCCTCATCCAAGAACCCCTGTGAACACTGTCACACTGCTGCCTTCTCCCCACAGCACATTCCCACATTTTGAGGTGCATGTTCATTTCCTAGGCAGCACATGCACACCACCCTGCCTGTGTGGCATGGCCAGTGGAGCCCTTCAGACACATCAGCTTGGCTCAGCCAAACTCTGTGACCCTACAGATCATGCAAAAAGAGTGAGGAATGAAGAGGAGCAGCTCCTGGTGCTGGAGAACGAACCTTTGGCACCAGCAGAGGACTTGGCTATCCACACGTTGCCCTCGTTTCCCTCGCGGCGCCGGTTGTAGGCGGCCAGGAACACTTCCCTCTCGTCTGTCCTCGAGTTGTTGATGAGATGGCGAATTCCATTCTGGGCTGGAGCCACCGGGGTCTTCAGGTTTGTTGGGTAAATCACATACGACTCAGGGAACCACGTGCAGGACTCCGATAGCTCAGGGCTTGTCTTGATGAGCCTGGGCGAACACAGACAGGCTGTTAATGTCCAGAGTGTCCCCACCTGCATGGGGCCTCTTTAATAAAGAAAAATCATCATTAACTGGGCTCTTTTGCTTGTTGATGAATGGCAGCTTATGGATAGTCTGTGCTAAATTATCCTGTTTTCCTTAGAGCCTTCAAATTAGGGTTTTCCTAAAGATATCATGGCAACCCCAGCCCACAGCAAAGCACTGCTCTTTGAACCAGAACCTGCATGCTTTCATTAAACATTTTACTGATATCATGAAACTAACAGCTGAGAAGTTTCCCCATAACTAAAGCTGGTGCTGCATTCCCTGCACAAGGGAACTGAGGAGGGATTTTCACTGACATGGCTCAGGGCAGGAAGGATCACAGCTGGAAAAAGGAAAGCCAGAGCAGTAATGCTGTCTGTGCTGGTGTTTAGCCCTTGATCCCATTCCCACTGAGATAGGACCAGGTGTCCCAGCTGTGCATGAAGAGATCTCTGGGAAGCCAGAGAAAGCAAGGGCACAGCTCCACGTTTCACATCCCAAGGTGTCTGGAATCCCTCAGGCACATCTCTCTGGAGACAGCAGCAAATTCCTGTTAGCAGAGCTCAGGCCTGTTTTCTTTCCAAGTCAAGGGAGCTGCCTGCCTCTCTAAATGCCTGTGCTTTGCTTAAAGCCAAAAGTGGAGTTCATGAGGTGCTGACTCTCTGTGCATTTGTGCCTCTCTGCTGAGATGGCAGTGAGTCAGTGGCACTTTGGAAGCCCTGAGGAATGTCATTTGTTGTCCTGTGGGTTCCGAGGTAGCTTGATGTGTGCTTGACCCTACAGTTAAAAAGGTCAGCCAAGCTGCAGGATATAAAACCAGGTGTGCAAGTGCTTCCAGCACTCCAGGTAACAGGCTAAAGAGGAATTCATCTGAGGAGTGCTCTAAGTGCTTGTTTAAAAATACTCTGCCACTTTCTGACAAACACCATCACCACTGCCAGGAAAGGAACTGGGAAGAGGCTCTTTGCAGAGGAAGGAGAGGCCTTCGATCAGCACACCCAGCCTGCAGCACTGCATTAGTGAGAGGCAGCACAGATTGTAATGGGCAATCAAAGGAGACCAAGAGCTCTGACATAAAGACACAGAGTTTGCACAGGGACAGGGTTATTTACCATGAAAGTTCATCCACATTTCCCCAGGAGAGCCTGGCATGGCAGGTCATGCAGAAATAACTCCCAGAGCTCTTCCTGGAGATGTCTCCAAGCATTTGTTTGACCAACAAATCTGATTAGCTAAAGGCACATTAGTGTCTCTTCTCTGTATGGAACAGAGAATAAAAGGAGAAGGTTTTAATTAAATGTCTACAAGGAAAAAGAGCAGATTCGTTTGGGTTTCTTTTTCCCTTTTGATTTGGCTCTAATCTGATTCAATACAGTCCATGGTTTCAAGTAGATACGACTCAGTGGAAATGGCATTTCCCCTGAGGTTACAGAGAGGCCTTTGTGCACACAAACAGCTCCAGAGAGCAGCCCAGGAGCCTGAAGACAGCACATGCACAGGGCAGCTGTTGTGTGAAATACCCTCCAAACAGGTTCAACACCCGACAAGGGTTAGAAGGGAAACTTCTGCCAAGCCCATCTGACATTTCAGTGGATTTCTTACTTCACCAGAGATGCTTTGCGGCACAGCTTGTCTGCTCCCCTGTAGTAATTCACCAGCTGCACAAGTCCAGGTTCATGGCCTGAGAAGGGGAAACAGAGGTCAGACAAACTCCAAAATGAACAAAGGCAAAGCAGCTGCTTGGTGCAAAGGACCTGTGCATTAGGGGGAAAAAAAAGGAGGCTGTTTCCTTGCCCTGCATTACAGAAGCAGGTTGTAAACTGGTCCTGGTCCCTATGGTTTCTTTCATTTAGTTACAAAAAAACCATGCAGTTACCCACTTGTTTTTATTCTGACACATCCATCTTACAAAAGAAAATAATTTTTTCCTAATTCACACTGGGAACTGGCAGGTGCTCTCCATCTGCTGGTATAAGCTTGTAAGAACCAAGATTTCAGTCACTCTTAAATACAGGTGAAGGATGCAGGGAAACACACCCTGAGACAAAGATCACAGCTCAGCAAAGGGCCTTTTTGCTTTGTCATGTACAGCACAACTCCCTCTTGGGCCTGAGACCACAAAACACTGGGAAACACTTGGAGTCTTGCTTCTTTCCAGCAGTTTGCAACAAGTCCTGTTGGATACCTGAGGTGAGAAGGAACCTCTGGGAGTCTCTGCTCCAACCTCTTGTCCAAAGCCTGAGCATCTCCAAAGACAGATACAGACTTTAGGTCCTTGTCCCAGGGCTTGGCTGTCAAGCTGTGTCCCCTTGACTATACTGGTGGCCCTTCCTATAGTGACTCCAGATGTTTAAGTCTTCACCTTTTCACAGGACAGAAACACTCGTGCTCAGCTGGAAGCTCCCTGAGAGGGACCAGAATTCAGAAAAAGGATTTAGGGTTTTACTTATCCTCCTTGGTGTCTGCCTGGGAAAAAAGGCCTGGAGCAAACATTACCTTAAACACCAGGCAGCTGCAAGATCACAGAGAGGGAATATCTATTTTCAGCCTGAAAGTCACTTCCCTGACCTGGGTCACTTTTATTCACAAATCTTTAAATACAAGATAGCTGAAAACCATCCTGCAGAAAAGATCTGTAGCTTCAGGCACTTCAAGGTGCATCCAGCACAGGCAGGTTTTTTTTCTTTTACTGAAAAGAAAATAATAAAACCCCTCAAATTTTCTTCTGTTTCCAGTTTATTCTGGGGAGATGGGCTCATGAGCATTGCCATGGAGCAGTGGGCTGCAACATAGACTTGGGTGGCCAGCAAAGAGGGACCACAAGGCAGGAAGGGAAACTTCTGGAGCATGTTGTGAGCTCTGCAGCATGCATTTAGTGAGATTAAAAAGCTGCCAAGGCACTGACCAAAGTGGCAATCCTCTCCTGGCCAGCAGAGCATGGAGCCCAGCATCCCCTGCTACATGAGCCTCTTCCTCCTTTCCATGCCCTCAGCACAAACTGCTTTTCTCCTAGACGAGGACACAGCTTAAGGGCACAATCCCCCAGGAATTAGGTTATCAGTGAGAGCTGCAGAGGTCCCTGCAGCTGGGCAGAAGCAGTGGTGCATGCTGAGTCCCCACTTCTCTCCATGATCCAGCTTAGGCCCTGAGTAATGCAAATCCCTACAGTTCCCTGAATTAATGTCTGCTTCCACTGAGTAGAGCCCTTAGGAAAACCAAGCCAGCTTTGATGCAACAGTTGCTCAGGAAGAAGATAGAGCTTTTTGGAAAATGCACCAAAATAACCACATTATTTTTGGTCTAACTCTACTGATTTCTGGCAACCAGTTTCCTATAGGAGGATGGTTTAAAGATCCCATTGCCAAAGCATGGCCCCTCTCCATGGGTTATAGACATGGCTTGAGTTTTTGTGCATCCCATGGCAACACATGCTGGAGGGCTCAGGGAAGCCCTTCCATCACTCCAGGACACTTTTAGAGGATGGAAGGGGTTAGTCAGAGATGGCCACAAGCCCACTCTCAAGGAACTGCACTTGTTCTGCAATGAGGCCTGATGCTCACAGGTGCTCCCTGCTGAGCAAGTTAAAGCACAGGTCTGCCTGCTGTGCCTGCTGCAAGCACATGTGAGCATCCTCGCTGCCCGAGCCTCTCCTGGTGTCTCCCTGCCTGCTGCAGGCACTGGCAGTGACCAGATGGCACTGCCATGTGATGGGGACTTTCCACTCACCAGTGTGCAGGAGACAAGGGAGAGGTGCTGGAACTGGTGACTTGCAAATTGTTAAGAGCAGTCAGAGATGGGTCCCTGCTGCAAGAAAGGGGCTGCAAGAAAGGGGCTGCAAAGCCATCTTGCACCAGAGCTGCTGGAGTGAGGGGGGCTCTGCCTCTTCTGATGTTCATGCAGCCAGAAGCAGTGCTGCAAAACCACCCCAGAAAGACACAAACCAGGGCCAAGATGACAGTGCAGCCCCGCTCCCTGCCACGCCCTGCAACACTGCCAGTGCCTGGCTTGGCTCTCCTGTTCCTGGGCACTCTCCCTCCCTGCTCCCGGGCTCTGCACCATCCAGCGGGGCACAGGGCCAGGGTGGCTGTGCCATGGGGCAGCAGCGGCATGGCAGGCAGGGCACAAACCTACACAGAGCCCTGCACGGTGGCAGGGTGACACTGGGGGTCAGGCAGCAGGGGAAAAATCGGTGGGGCAGCGGTTGTAGGGGGCCCGGCACACACAGACCCTACTGGAATTACCCACACCCTGCTCCAGACAGGGACAGTGCTGTCACCCTCACCGAGCCCTGCAGAGGCACATCCCCACCAGTTCGGCTCTGGAGTGAAGGTCTGAACGAGCCTGGCTTAGCCGTGTTCCTGCTGCCTGAGGCAGGAGGCAGAACAGCTCTAAGCCCCACACCACGTAAGCTCAGCACCGCAGTGTCCGTGCCCAGCAGCAGGCAGGGGATGACGCCGGAGCCACCGCGGCCCCACAAAGGCACCGCCGCTTGTCCGGATCCCCCCGCAGTGGTGCGAGCGGCCCCAAGGGCACCGCTGCAGGGCAAGGAAGGCGCTCCTGGGCTGCACCAGAGGGGGCCGGGATCACCAGCTCTGCCGCACGTCATGGGGGAATCTCCGAGCGACCCTCGTGTCATCCCCCCTGCCCTTCCCACTGCTTCACTACATCACAGGCCTCAAGCCGGGCGGGTGTTTGGGGGGACCCGGTGAAATCACTCTCGGGGAGCTTGGGAAGAGGATCCTTCGAGCCCCGGCTGGCGGCAGCAGGGCCCGCAGAGAGCCGGCTGCGCGGAGACCCCGCGGGGCCTGAGCTTTGTTTGGGCGCCGGGGCGGCCGCCGAGCCGCGGGGACAGCGACAGGGACGGGGCGGGGAGCGGGGCCAGGGGCACCGCATCCCCAACCGCGGGGGCTCCGAGAGGCTGCGGCGACCCGCGGGGACGCTGCCCTGCGGCGGGGGACAGCGGGGACGGGCGGGCACAGCCGCAGCCACGGACCGAGGGGGAGCGGGGAGCGCCGGGCGCCGCTGCTGCCGGCGGCGGGGCGGGCGCGGGGAGGAGCCTTACCCAGCCTGCCGAAGGGGAGCCGGTTCCTCTCGCCCAGCATGAGGTTGAAGCGGGGGTTGTCCCTGCGGAGGCGCCGCCACTGCCCGCTGGCCAGCAGCAGCCGGCTCACCTCGGTGTACACGCTGCTGCCCTCGTCCCGCACCACGAAGGTGTACATGGCGGCGGGGCGGGGGGGAAGGGGCTCCCCGCCCTACCCCCGGCGGCTCATGGGGCCCCGCCGCAGCCGAGGCAGGGCCCTGCGCGGCCGCCGCCGCCCGGCCCGGCTCCGCATGGCCGGGGCCGCCGCCCCCGCGCACCGCCCGACAGCCTGCCCAGGCGGGGACTGACCCGGAACCAGAACCGCCCTCCCGAGCCCGATCCTGAGCCCGAGCCGGCTCCGGCTCCTGCTCCTCCCCGCCCCGTTACGCCGTGCAGCCGCCGGGGCGGGGCGTGCGCCCCTGGGGGCCGGGCCAGCGTCTCCGCGGCGTGACACGGGCCGGCGTCTGTCACTGCCCGGGATCTGTCACCGCCCGGGATCTAACACCGCCCGGGATCTGTCACTGGCCGGGATCTGACACTGCCCGGGATCTGTCACCGCCCGGGATCTGACACCGCCCGGGATCTGTCACTGCCCGGGATCTGTCACCGGCCGGGATCTGTCACTGCTCGGGATCTGTCACCGCCCGGGATCCGACACTGCCCGGGATCTGTCACCGCCCGGGATCTGACACCGCCCGGGATCTGTCACTGCCCGGGATCTGACACCGGCCCGGTTCTGTCACCGGCCCTGCCGCTCCCCTGTGTGACTCAGCCCCGTGTGTCCCCTGTCACCCAGGCTTGGTGCCTGCAGGCTCTGCTGCCCTCCGGTGCTCAGGGCCCCTGGGGGATGCTCGCCCCTGAGCCAGGAGATCTCCTCCTTCCTGGAGGCTCTTCCAATCACTCCTTATCTTCTCCTACATTGCTACCTAATTTGATCCTTCTGCTTATGGAAAGGTCTTCTTGTTTGTAACCATCACCTCTGTCTTCCTCACAGACCTGCAGCAGAGGAAAGATATCTCACAAATTAAAACCTGGAAGTTAGATTTCCTCCCCAGAACAGATCAGGTCTGTCTTAACAAACCTATCAATAATGAAAATTATGAGGTTTTGAGTTGGTTAATGTCCTGTTTTTCCTTCAGACACTGTATGAGTAATGACATCAGCATTGCATACATCAGCATTGCATATGCTCTATAAATCATGATATATTTCCAAGAAATGAGGAATATTTTGCTGAAGGAAACACAGAGAGGTCATGACCTGCACATTGCCTTTTCTTTTTTTGACAGCACAAGGTAAGGTGTTAAGTGATTCATGGATGGAAAAAATTAATTTAGAAAATAGCTGCTGTCATAGCAGCTAAAAAAATTCTCTAGGCAGCTTATTTCTACTAGGAGGTGCTCTTGAACCTGGGATAGGATGGGCCTCTGGATCTGTTTTCAGATGCATCCTCAGTGTGCGTTCTCTTCACAGTGTTGTGAGTTAAAGCACCTCACAGCCCAGGGAATCACAGAACACCTGGGACTCAGATCCTGAAGCCATTCCCTCTTCCCAGTTTGGATACGTGCTGTTTATCAGGATTCCAAAATTATAGGTAATTCCAACTGATAGATAATTTGATGGCTCATCTCTGTTGGTTGCATAATGAAGCACAAGAGCAAAGATATTCCACAGAGTTAAGATCAATATGTTAGACCAATAAGCAGAATGAAGTCCAATAATGGACTACTCACTATTCCATGGGAAGTTTCCTGTAGCAAGGTGGAATTTGGGTTTGGGATTTGTGACTTTTTTTGTTGTTGTTTAATTTTTTTATTTGGTTTGGGTTTTTTGAATTTTTTTTTCCTATAGCTTAAAGTATAATTCTAGCACATACACTAGATTTAAATGCAAAACCTTTTTTCTTCTTTGTGTATGTAGGAAAAATACTTGCAGTTAACCGATTCCCAGTGGGACTCCTGCATGTGCTTTTTTCTGGCTTTGAGCCTCAGTGTGAAAACTGTCCAGACCTCTTCTAAATGCAAAAAATATTTGTAGCTACAGTTTATGGTTTGAAATGAACCATAAATTACCACCCAGCTGGATTTATTAGAGCCTATTTGGGTTTGTGTGATTCTCACTCAGTATTTTTCTGGCTGCATTGTTTCTCCACGTGTAGGAACCAATGGACTGTAGTTTCTGGAAGGCTGTGCACGGATCTGAAAGGTCCAAGTCCAACAAGGCCAAAGACTGGAAGAGCTTAGCACAAGGTGCCTTTATTTCCACACCCTGTTGGACCTGAGCATCCTTGCTGCTGGCCACACCACAGAGTGTGTTAGCTCCTGCCAGCTGGTGTCCTGATCTGCCTCCTTCCTCTTGTGTCCTCAGTTCTACTTCCCTTGGGATTGAGTTGAGATCGGTGGGCAACCAAGGCTCTTTCCCTGGCAGATCACAGCATGGCTCAGTTTGTGCAGTCCTCCATGTTGGCTGTCCCACAGGATTCCTCACTTTGGGAGAGCCTGCAGTGGCACGCCCTCGGCAGTGCTGGCTTCTGGTGGCACTTTTACTCTGCAAGAAAAAAAATCACTTTAAAAAAAACCACACCTTCCTGCAAACACCTGATGTGCACTCTTTTGCCTTTATGGCTATTAATCAGTAAATGCAAAGATGGAACTTGCTTCTACTATAAAGCAAATAATGCAAGTCTTCTAAAAGGTAAGAGCAATGCAAATCATCAAGCTCCAGGCAGAAGAGAGAAATCGCCAGTAAACTGTATTTTCTGTTTCAACTTACTGCTGTTCATTAGGAGGCCTCACAATAGAAAATGTGAGCTGAGAAAATAATGAAAAAGACACTTGAGAGTGCCAATAGAATTCTACCTGAGTGTTTGGTGATGGACTACACAGAGAACACGTGGAGCTGTGCTGTGGGAGGGTCACAGACTTGCTGTGCACTGTAGATTGCTTTCATACTCTATAGTTTATGTGCCTCTCACTTCTATAAATGCTGCTTTGCAGTGCCATAAACCACATTAAAACCCTGACTCACAGCTGTGCTTCCTCCTTGGCTCTTCAGGGACTTGACAAGGGTTGGGAACAGAACTGGACTTTGCCTTGGTGGCTTCCCTCTGACCCCCTCAGCTCAAATGTGTGGATGGGCAGGAAAACGGGAAGGCCAACAGGCCCACAGCCCAACAACCCAACTGGGCTGTCCCTTCTTCCCCTGCCGCCCACAGACGGGGAAACTGCAGGCAGCAAAGAGATGTCCCCATTCCTCATCAGACTCCATGTGCAGGGCAGGACAGGGGTCACTCACTGTGGCTTCTCCACGTCCTCGATGCCCTCGGGCAGGCGCACGTTGAGCGTCTCCGGGAGCAGGAAGGCCGTGGCGCCGCTGCACACAGCCACGGCGCAGTATGTCACCTCAGGCAGGGACCGCCACACCTCGTCCAGCAGGAACACCAGCGGGGCCAGCGCCCCTCCCAGGCGCGCCAGGAACGACGTGTACCCCATCCCGTTCTGCCTGGAAAGGGGCACACGGCCACAGGGGGAAACAGAGGCCTACTTGTGTCATGGCAGGCCTCCGCCCTTTTCCCCTCTGCCATTTTCCCTCTGCCATTGTTTTCTTTTCTTTCCTCATATCTTCCTAAAATCATCATCATCTACCCCAGAGATCAACTGTAGCTGCTGTGAGAAATAGATTTATGTCTATTGTGAGGAAGAAGTTGCAGTTCCACACTAAGAATACCTGCTCTAAAGCTGTTTCCACTTTAAATGTCTAAACCCTGAGAGCATTTTCTAATAGTAAGACTAGTGAGTCTTCCAGCCTGCTTAGAGCAAATCCAAGTTCCAACTTCTCCCAGATATTTCTAGGCAGGTGGCATAGACTAGAGATACCTGTGAGCATTTTTGGTCCAAGGAAGGAGCTCTTGGAGAGGAGACCAGAAATTAAGACCTAATTTTGAGGGGATGGGTGGCATTTCACACTCATGACAAGGATCCCGGGACCTGACTGCGCATATACAGAACAAGTACTGCAGAAGGAACCAACAATTTTGTCTTTGCCAATGTCTTTGAGCATGAAAGATATAAACTGATCTGGGATAAGAAATGGCAGACCTGTGTGACTGCTTTGGTTTAAATGTGCATCTTTCCCCTTGGAAAGCTAAAGCACTAGATGGCAGAGGAGGCTACTCTGGGCAGGAAGGGACAGAAGTGAAGTAGCCCACAAGGCCTGCTGTCATTCATGAGGTTTTTTTTCAGAGTTCCACAAAGAAATCAGTGAGGTGATGCCCTCCACCAGACTTAGCTATATCCCCACCTATGCAATCTGGTGTTATGTTACCATTCCCCAGGTATGTCAAATAAGCTCTGTTTTTCCTCCTGAAAGGCTGGCTAATGGCTGCTTTAATATCATCCAATGTCCAAAAGACTCTCAAACATGTGGTAGTATGTGTCCCTTGTAAAATTTTGTATTTCAAGTTATTATTTCAGGTTCTTTTAACAGTCCCTGACAGATTATAACAGGGAACAAAGACTTTACTAAGCGCAGGTGCTTTATGGAGTGCAAAGATATTCCCACACAGAATACTCCTCACCTTTCCATTCATCTTCCGGTCAGCACAACCTAACCACCCACAACCCCGGTGAAAGAAAGGGTGGACTTCTGCCTCTCTCTTGTGAGTATATGAAATCCCTAGAACCTGCCAGTTCCAGAGGAAAGGGGCCAGTGCTGCAGGGTTATAACCAGAACATCCTGCTGTGCTGATGGCCTGAGCAGCCCAGCCAGGCCCTGGGGGTGTGTGCAGCTGGGTGGCATCTCTTACCTCAGAATGGTGGGGTAGAGCTCTGAGGTGTACAGGAAGACGGTGGTGAAGGCAGCTTCTGAGCAACCCTTGCCCAAAACGGCCACTACTGAACGCAGGGAGCTGAAGGCTGAGGGGAAGGAAAGGCATTTATGGCAGTGAGCTGCCTCTGGGAAGGAACTTTCAGGTCTAAGAAGGGAGAAGGTTCAGTGCTCCCACTCACAAAACAGGGAGCTTCATAGCCCTGGAGCTGCTGTCTCCAAAGGCTGGGTATGCAGGTTTATTAAGTGTCGCAGACATCTTTTATGAAAAATCCTTTCCTTAGGATTTTTCCTCCTGAGAAGCTGAGAAGCCTCAGGAACAACATGTAAACAATGATTATCTGCTGCTGTGGAATGCAACAGGTGGATCTGTGATTGGTCTCATGTGGTTGTTTCTAATTAATGGCCAATCACAGCTCAGCTGGCTCAGACAGAGAGCTGAGCCACAAACCTTTGTGATCATTCCTTCCTATTCTATTCTTAGCTGGTCTTCTGATGAAACCTTTTCTTCTATTCTTTTAGTATAGTTTTAATGTAATTTATATCATAGAATAAAAAATC